ATTTTTAAACCGGGGGTAACTCCCGCTGTTTCAAAAAAAAAAAAAAAAAAAATTTTTAAATTTTAATTTTTTTTTTTTTTTTTTTTTTTTGGTGGTAGTAGAGGTGGTCATTTGGTTTTGTTTATTTAAATTAAAAAAAAACTTTGAGATAGAGATAGTGGTTGTTTTAAAAAAATTTCTTTCCTTTTCTTTCTTTCCTTTTCTCTCCTGTATTTTAAAGTTGTTTTTTTCTATTTAAATTTTTTATGATTTGATGATTACGACTACAATCAATCGCCGACGACAATCAAAAATTACATTGAATTTTTTTTTTCAATAAAAAAACCGTATACGTCATTCATTATAACGTCAACAAGAGAGAGAAAATTTTTGTTTCTCGTTGTTTGTCAATGTGGACATTCACAGATTTCAATAATGATTTTCCTATGGCCAACAATTTTTTTATTTCTGTAAACAGAATAAGAGTAAAAAGTGTGAAATATCAATGTTAACCAAACCTAACTTTTTACGGTTTTCCTTACAACAACATTGACATAACAAATCAAGGTTTTTTTTCTGAAGAAATTTGGTTAATTTAACCAGAAATTTAAAAATCAAAACATGAAACGTACTAGAGAGAGAGAGAGAGAGAGAGAGAGAGAGAGAGAGAGAGAGTGAGCAATTTTGTTGATCAACTTCCTCGTACTTCAAAAATTAAAATATAATTTTCAAATTTTGTACGATTATTAAGTGTGTGTAATGTTTACAACCAGTAAAATTAAATGACAGGAAATGTTTGTATGAAAAAAAGAAAGAAAGAAAAGTCATTGAATTTTCATTTGAATTTTCCTTTCATTTCAATTTGATTGAAATAAACGAAAAAAAGAAAGAAAAACGTTTTGATCATCAACATCATCATCAATGATAACGTCAATGATGATGATGAAAAAATTGAAATTCAATTTCAATTGAATTTTTCTTTTTTTGTTCACAAAGAATCGATCAATTTGATCGATTGATCGATCGATCGATTTGTAATATTAATAAAAAATCGATTGATATTTGTATACAGATGGAATTTAGTATAGTTTAGTTTTTTTTTTGTCCTGTTGTTCAATGTAATTATTAAATTCCTTAAAAATCAAGATGAAATGTTAGATAACAACAATAGAGCATGCGTAAAAGAAGGAATGTACGTTAACAACAACAACAACAAAAAAAAGGGAATTTACTTAAATAAAACAACAACAACAACAACAACAGACAATGATTATAATTATTTCCCTGTCTGTAGTTTTAGCAAATCAAACATTTCAAGGATATGAAATGTACGTTCATATTTTTCTTTTCTTCGATAACAAAAAATTAAAATAAATAAGATGCTAGGGTTAAAGGAAAATATTTCCCCCACACTAAATACAATTAAAATTTGATAAAACAAACCACTAACCTTTTTTTTTAAATATATTGTTATAGTTGAAAACTACGTAAAAATTTCACAACCACCAATATCAATGAGATGTTTATTTATTTTTTTGGTTTCCCGAAAAAAAAACACAACCAGAAAATTTCACAACCAAAATTGATATTTGGAACGGAATTTTGTTTACGTTTTTCTTGTTTAAGATTCACAACCAAAGAAAAAAAATGAGATTAAATGTTGTTTGTTCGTTTTGTATGTAACGTTGTTGATCCAAATGATGATAAGAAAGCGGAAGAATAATGAATAATTTTTTTTTGTTAAGTTTTCAGGCCCAAACGTTTTTTTTTGTTTCACAACCAAAAGTTTTTTCCATTTAAAAAAATTGATAATTCGATGAATCACATCTAATTTTTTTGATTTAAAAGAAAGGAAAAAGAAAAAAAAAATAATTGAAGGAAACAATCAAAGAAGAAAAGAAAACAGGATTTTTGTGAAATAATATCATTGATGTGATTGGGACAAATAATAACAGGGAAAACAAAGATTTACAATTTTTTTTTTTTAATTTAGTAAAATCTGAATAAAATTCCAAAGAATTGAATGAAATCAATGTGGAATCAATAAGGATTATCAATCAAATTGTTTGATTGATTTCATTTGACAAGAAAAAAATAAGAAAGAAAGAATCCTTCTTTTTTTTCTCCGAATGGGTTTTATATGATGATGGAGCAAGGAAAAAATTTTGATTTATCAAATCATAATCAAATCATGTAAGATTATTAATATGATGAAAATTATAAACAAAATTTTATCATTCAATAATGAGAAAACAAAATCGTAAATAGTATCATATTACAAAATGATATTTTTATGCTTTTAATTTTTTGTTAGTTTTACCTTTACATTATTTGTTTTGTTTTGTTGCATTGATGGTTTTCATTGGATTAATCCATTTTGATGTTGACGTTTTTTTTGGTTTTTTGGGTTTTGGTTTTGACAATTATTTTTTCTTTTTTCAAAAAATCACCATAATCAGAAAATTCTGATTCAAATTTTCGTGGAATTTCACAACCAAAAAAAAAGAAAACAACCGATTCAAACAACCAGGAAAAATGATAATGATAAATGTCAGATAATGGAAAACAAAAAAAAAACAACCAGAAAATACTGCTACCACATAATAATCATTGACAATAACAACAACAACAATCAAAAACCAAAAAAAACATAATAGGAAAATAAATAAAAAACAAGAGAAAACTGATAACACGGAAAGAGAAAGTAGGAGAGAGAGTAAGCTATATTATCAATATCATCATCATCATTATCATCGACAACATCGACAACCAAATTTTATCTATATATTGTACATCGTTTATATAATTGAAAATATTTATATAGCCATAATGTTATGAAAATATATCTATCTGTGGAAATTTGTTCCAGAATTTGATTTACGCATGCGATTCTGTTACATTCTCTATATATCTATAGATCGACATGGATCGCCATCTTTATTCTTGCGTTGATCCAAAAAAAAAAATTTTTGTTTGGATAAATCATTTTAAGCAAAAGCATAAGCTCTTATCAATGCAATCGGAAAAAAAATGAAAAATAAATTTAACCTTGACCTTCTTTTTTTCCTTCTCTCTTCTTGTCGTCTATATAAAAATATGTTTATATTCTTGATTTCCGGTTCTCGATTCAAAACCAGAATTTGAATTTGCGCATGAATTTAATTATTATTCTGTAATATTTATATTTTTCATCAAGGTTAATTAAAATTTGTTATTTACTCTGTCAATCAAAAAAAAAAAAAAAAAAAAATAATTAATTATTAATCAGAAACAAAAAAAAAATGAAAAAAAGGATGATGTACTTTAGTCAATCAGGATAAATGTCAACATCATCATCATATCCAATATATGATGATGAGGTGATTCATTCATTCATCATTCTGAAGAAAAATAAAATCGAACCATTATTTCTCGTGTGATGTTCTGGTCTGATTTATTTTATACATCATCACACACACACACACACACACACTTACCAATCATTTACAGAGTACTAGGGGTTAATGTAATTTTATTTAAAAAAAAAAAAAAACAAAAAAAAAACAAAAACAAAAATAAAATAGATCAAGAAAATGAAGAGAGAAAGCAAGAAACATGACATCATTGATATCAGCCAGTAAAAAAAACGACTGAAAATGGTGTGATGACAAAATATCGCTTATCAATAGCGTGTTAATGGCGTGTGTGCGGGATCATTTTTCTTTTCTTTTATCAATTAAACCGAAAACGGAATTTAAAATTAATTAATTTTTTTGTTTCGGAAATTCTAAATTTAATAACGTAATCTAGGTAATATTTATTGAATAACATCGAAAATCAAACAATATGTTAGGTTACCTGGACCACTAAACTATGGCTTTTATTTTACGTAATATGGCTTTATTACGTAAATTGGAATTTCAAAAAAAATAAAATAAATCATTTCGTCCTCTATGAATAGAGCACATGCACACACAATTGATTCATTGAAATTCAACAACAACAACAACAATAATTCTTTTGAACAAGAATTCATATTAATATCCAATGACGAAGTAGAAAAAGTAAAAAGTAAAAACAAAAACAAAAAAATTCTTTTGTTATTATTAAAAAAAAGAGAGGGAGTGAGAGAAACTATTTTTTTTTGCTACCGTCATACTCAGTTTAATGAATAATAATCATTAACAACAGATCATTTCATTTCATCATCATCATCATCATTTTTTTGGTCGCCATCGTCATCATCATTGATTTTTCATTTTCAGTATTTCTGGTATGTGTTTTTGGAACAATATTTTTTTCTTTTTTGTTAAAATTAAAATGTTTTGAATTTTTCAACAACAGAAAAAAAAAATCCAGAAATTCTTCAGAATAATATTTTGGTTAGTCATCGTTGTTTGGTCGTTAAATAGACGTAATCATTTTTGACGTAATATTTAACATTATAGCACCATTGCAATCGAATTTTTTGACAGAAATACTGAAAAAAAATCCCGCTTTCACCAACAACAACGACAACTATACAGCAGCTGATCATCAGGTTAGTTGTATTTTTTAGGTTTGGTTTCAAATTTCTAATCAATTTTCTGGAATTTAATTCTTTTTTTCATCATTAGATCACCTATTGAATCAATCAAACAATCTATTGACATCCATCATTTGTTATTTATCCTAAAAATAATCATCCATTCAATAAACAATCAATCGTTGTCAACAAATTACGTGTATTAATGACGTATGTGAGCAGATTCCAAACAAAAATATTCATGTACCTGAACATCATTTGATTATTATTTATTGTTGATGTTATTGAATGAATGACAACAACAACCAAAAAAACAAAACGAAAATAACAATTTGTATTATCAAAAATTGAAAAAAACAACAACAATTCTTCTGAACATGGATCAAAAGAATTTAAATCATCATAATGATAATGATGATGATGATGATGGTTATGATTTATCATGTAATAATGATTCATTTGTTACATTCAATACAACAAATTTAGATGAATTAAATCGTATTATTGAAGAATCATCATCATTAGATTTACCAAAATCATTGATTATAACCAATATGGATAGCCGTATATTCCAGCAATCAACTGAACAACGAGTATGTATTTTTTTTGTTGTTGTTGCTTTGATTTGTTTGTTTACTAATATTTATTTATTGTTTGTTTTTTTTCTTTTCTTTAATTGATTGATTGATTGATTATTCAAGGATGAATTTGAACGAGCATTTCGTTCATTAGATTCGGATGTAAAATTTTTATATTTTAAAAGTTTTCGACGAGCACGATTAGATTTTTCTGATCAAAAAGCAGCAACAAAAGCACGTATTATAATGAATCAAATTAAATTTGGTGATGAACAAATTAATTGTTATTTTGCTGAAATAATGAATAAAAAAAATTCATCAAATGATAATGATCATAATTATTTAAAACCACCAGCATTAGAAAAACAATTTCTAATATCACCACCATCATCACCACCTGAAGGTTGGGAACCTTGTGAAGAAGCACAACCAATATTAAATATTGATCTACAATCAGCATTAGCAAATTTAATACCTGGACAAGCACATGAATTACATCCACCAACTTGTAATCAACCAGGTATTGTTGTACATGTTTGTGGTTCAACCGCAACAACAACAACAAAACAAGATTCATTATCAATCGATCCAGATAATGATAATGACGATAATGATAATGATGATGATGATAATGCTGATGATGGTTTTTTCAATGATGATTCAAATATTCCAATGATGAAAATGAAAATTGTACAAACATCATGTCCACCACGTTATCGATCGGATCAACAGAATTGAAATCATTGAATATTTTCAACAACAAAAAAACAACCAAAAAATAAAATCAACCTATCCTATTCTATTAGTAAACTAAACACACATTTATCACTTATAATTTTATTTTATTTTGTTGTTTTCTTAGATTTTTTTGCTTTTTGTTTTGTTTTTGTTTTTTGCTTCTAATTTTATTTGATTGATTTTGTTAACAACAGCATTATCGATGATAAATCGATAATATAAATCTTCATAATATACAAAGACACAAGAAAAATGATTTTTTGTTTAATGAATTTTAATAAATCAAAATAAAAAAACGGCTATAAACTTATTTTTACCATTTTTGGTAAAAAAAATTTCCAGTTGATTTTTGTTGTTGTTACTTGGAAAAATATGAATTATTAAAAACAAAAATTACCGGGCTATTAACAACAATAAGAAAAAAAAATGAAACTAGATCATCATTGACCAAAATAAGAAAAAATAGTCGAAAAAAAATCCGTATAATTAACCTGATAATGTTAATGATTTTTTCTCTCTTTCTTTTTTTGCTTGTGTTCGTCACCATATTTATGCAACAAGCAAGCAAAAAAAAATTTTTTGTCAAACAAACATTCATCATTTGCTCAAATGTAACACAATTGTAATGATGATGATTGGCTTTAAATGGTTAAACAAAAATGAAAAAATCCAAAACATCCTTTTTTTCCCAAAATAAAAATCCATTCAAAAATGACATTTATATGTCAAAAAAAAACGAGATTGATTGATTGATTGATTCATTTGAAAATATATTTTCATGGTGGTCGTTAATTATTATTATCATCATCATCATCATCAGTATCATTGCTTTTAACAACAACAACAAAATCTTTTAATTAATTACTTTATTCTCACCGAGATAATGTTTATGTTGATGATGATGATAATCAAAATGTGTGTGTGTCTGTGTGTGTGTAAAAAAAGTATTAATTAAAATTAAATGTAAATTGAACACTTTTTTTCTTGGGAAATTACCTTTTAAAAAAAATTTAATTACAAAATCTATCTCTTCGGTTGAATGTTTGAATACATCCAACGGTCAACTGGCAATTGATTTTTTTTTTGATTTTAAATTGATTTTCTCCCGAAATAAAATTAGAACAACAAGGTTATCATCATCCACAGCAGCAGCAGAAATGAAAAAAAAGGCTTTTAAATCTGTTGATAATGATGATGATCCGAAATAGAAATTTTGCAAAAAAAAAATAGCAAAGTAAAATTTTCTTCTTCGAAATTAACATTATTACCAGGCAGAAATGAAATTGATTTTCAAAATTTTTTTCTTTTTCCAGAAACAAAAATCGATTAATAAATTTATCCATGTGATTTATGGTTACCTGTAAAACAAAAAAAAAACAAAATTTGAAAATAAATTACATACATACACCGACACATCACACAAACATTGCCAATAAATATGTCAATCTAAATTTACCCTATTTTTTCTATTAATCCTTGATTATCATCATCACACAGTTATGAATCATATTTGCTTCCTGGAAAAACAAAAAACAAAAATTTACCTTTAATCAGGCAATTTTTAATGGTGAATTTTTTTTTCTTCTTCGTTTTATTAATGATTGAAAAAAACAAACAAACAAACAACAAATTGCAATTTGATTCTTGATATTTCATTCACATGTCATCATCATCATAATCATTATTATTCAAGGGGAAAAAAAGGAAAATTAATTGATTTTGCCCTACAGGCGCCATCAGGATTAATATGGATGCAATCAAATGATGATGATGATATATTGATTAATTTTGATTGGAAAAACCAAAAAAAAAATCAATTTTCAATTTTTTTAATCGACTGATGTTTGATGAAATTGAAAACCTGTAACCGGTAAATTTTCATTTGATGATGACTACCGTGGAAATATTTACAATTTGTTTTTCTGTTTGGAGCAAATTCAACTCGTGCAAACGAATGAATCCATTTATGGACAATTTTTTTTCCTGCTGCTGTTGTGTGTAAAGGCGGCAAACTTGAACTTTGTCGGCTTGATTCTCTTCTCTTTTTTTTGAAAATTGTTGAAAATAATAATAATAATTTTGTGTCAGGATACACTTAAAGTTGTCATTATCGTTTTACCATTTTCCAACAAACATATACACATACCTTGTATATAAAAAATATGTTTCTTAATGCATTTGATTAGCATCATTTAACTTAATTTTTTCCAAATTTGATTGACATTTGTTTGTTTGTTTCGTTAATTTATTTATTTATCATCATCATCAATAATAATAATTGCCATTTCGGTAAATTAAGAGAAAAACAAAACTAACAAAATTAAACAAGAAAACACAATAAACAAAGTAATTAATGACAAGGCTTGTTTGTTTATCTAATTTGTCTAATGTATGATGGATGTCAACCACAATTTTTCTTTTTTTTGTGTGTGTATATAATGAATATTTTCATTGTTCTGTTGTCGATTTGAGAATCTGAAGAGAAAAAGAAAATCATTTTTGTTTTTGTTTGTTTTCTTTTTTGTATTTAGACATTTGCCACATTGTCACATTTAATTCATTCGATGATGTAATGAATGAAATTCCGGATGTAAACATTGTTGTTGTTGTTGTTTAAAGTAAAATAAAATGTGTTTAGATTTTCAAGTGCGAAAATTTGAATTTTTTGTTGTTGTTCAAGTTCAAGTACAATCCATTCGTTAATTTTGATTTGTGTTTCCGTTCTTGATAAAGATTGGCGAAACAAAAAGGTAAGTTTTTTTGTTTTCTTTCCTTAACAGAATTTTGCTTTGTTTTGTTTTTTTTTTCAAAACATCGTTTTTTACTGCTGTAATTTAATTGAAACATTGTTTTAATGAAAGAACAAACAAAAAAAGTTTTGGTTTCTTGTTGTTGTTGTTGCCGTAGACATTACTTATTAAGAAAACAAATCATCATTATATGAATGGAATGTAAATCCTACAAGCAAGTCTGTCTTTAAAAAAAAACATAATAATGATCATCATCTACATCCCGATCATCATCAATCTTTTAATCATCAATCAAAATGAATGTTGATAATAATAATAATGATGAATGAATGAATCCGGGTGCGCAAGGGAGAGAGATAGAGAGAGAAAAGCAAACAAAACGAAACAACAACAACAAAACGAAACAAATCAAATCGATACATGATCAATAACATTGATTATGATGCTAATCAAACATATTGATTTTTTTTCAATTCAGATCTAATGATGATGATGATTCGTGATACAAACAAGGAAGAAAAAAAAATCCATTATAATTAGATCAATTATGAGAATCAATCTCAGAAATAAATAACAAAGAATTGTCAGAATCAACAACAACAACAACATTTTCATGAAATTTACGAAATTAAAATTCTATGTTTTCCTTGAAATTACTTAATCAAATTAACCAACAAAAAAAAAAGAAACCTTGATGCTTAAATCTTGATGATGATAGCATCATCAACAAACAAACAAAACAAAAAAATCTAATTTCTTTTCATTCAAAAATATCAATTTTATGATTGAATAAATTGGCGATTTTCGAAAACAACAACAACGACCAACGAACGAACGAACAAAATTTTTATCTTTTCTAACGATCATCATCTTTATATGGAAAACCAAAAAAAGAAGAAGAAAATAACATTTTCATCCAGTTCAGAAACAGAAGAAGAAGAAGAAGAAGAAGAAGAAGAAGATAATCTTTATTATCGATCAAAACTTTTAAGTAAGGTGAACTCACTATTAGTGAATTTTTAGCAAAGCAAAGAAGAAAAAGAAGAAAAAAAAGGTGCAAAGAAAATCTTTTTCTTTTTTTTAACGATAAACATTATTATTTTCATCATCATAAAACTATGATGATGATGACCAAAAGAGATCTCTTTCTTTCTTTTTTGGTCAAAAAAAAAAACACTTGAAAATTGTCGATGTCGATAATGTGGAATTTAACTATCCAGCTTTACCAATGAAACAAATTTGATTTGATTTTTTTTCGGTTATAAATGTGAAATCTGACGACTTTTTTTCTGCTTTCGTTGGTTTTTAAATGAATTTTTTCTTTCCCCCCTTAATATGAATGGATGATCATCATACAAGTATCGAATTTCATTTCATTTTTGAGTTAAAGAAGAAGATGAAGAAAAATCTTAAATTTCAAATAATGTTTTTTTTTCTTTATTGAACATCATTATCATTGGCGGCTATATTGACGCCGGCAAGTCGATGATGTTAATAATAATATTTTTTTGACCGAAACTTTAAAAAAAGAAAAATCTTTCGCAACTTTCAACCATATTATTTACCTGTGTGTTTGATTGGTGAATATTTTTTTTACTGGGTTAGGCTATGTTTGTTAGGTAGAAACAAAAAAACATTTTGAAATATGAAACAAATCAAACGCAAATGAAATTTTTTTTCCTGATAAAACAACAACAAGTGATCATTGACTGTCATCGAAAGATCAAAAATCAAAAATTATTATGATGATGGCCATAATCATAATCATCATCGATACATTCTTATATTTCGAAATATGGTCATTTCTCTATTGATTTATTATATAATGATTTTCGATTTTTTTTAATGATCGACAGACATTGGTGGGATCATCATCATAATGATGATGATGAGGATGATCAAATGATCAAATCTGACACATCATGATTTGATCATTCTCATACATATATGTGTGTGTGTTTTTTCTCGGGCAATTTAATAATCAAAAGATTTTGATCAATCAATTTTTCAAATTTTTTTTTATTGAAAAACTTGACCTTTTTTCTGAATTTATTCGAATAAGCAAAGTTTTTTTCCACCGAAAATCCAATGTAAATTCCAAACAAAGAAATTTTCGTAGGTGGTTTTTGGTTTCCTTTCTTTCTTTCTTTTTCTGGTTTATTATTCTTTCATTCAACAAAAAAAAAAATCAAAATGATTTTAAATTGAATATAAAAAAAATCTGTGGTTTCTCTCTTTGCTGATCATCATCATAAAATAAAATTTAGAAAAATGTTCAGATTAACATTTGCGTGTTAAATGATCAACAACAAGAGAAAATCCGGGAATTTTTATGTGTTTATTTTTTTTGATTTCTACGCCCTGAATATATGTGTTTGAATGAAACAAAATGCAAAATGCAAAATTCCAATCAAAATTTTTTTCGTTTGAAATCTATTAACACTTTGCGTGGTGGTTGGTTGGTTGGTTGGTGTGATGTGATTAACGAATTAAAAAAA